CTCTCTCTCTCTCTCTCTCTCTCTCTCTCTCTCTCTCTCTCTCTCTCTCTCTCTCTCTCTCTCTCTCTCTCTCATTTTCTCCCTAATTTAACTTATTAAATGTTTTCTCTTCATATGCTCTCTCAGAGAAAGGCAAACTATAATTAACCGTAAATCTAAGTTATAAATAGAATTGCAATCATTTTACACGTTTATGTACCATGTTTTTGAATTTTTGTCCGTTCTAATTTTTCATAATAATATTTGCTTCTAAGTACATAATATATTTGCTAATATAATAAAAATTAATTTTAGAGTACATTGCTAATATTTACTAATAAAGAAATAATAAATTTACTAATACAATTAATTTAAATTTTAGATTAAATTAAAGAATAACATAACTGCATAATTAAAAAAAAAATTAAAAAAAATCTAAACTTTTATTTTCACATATGAAGATAAATCCAACAAATTCTCTTTTATAACTCGATTAAAAATTTATTTTAATATTTAATATTTAATACACATGCATATCACTAGTTACCTATCATTCAATAGTAGTCCTCTCTCTTGAGCATGGGATTTTCCTCAGTCCATGAAAAACAAATGCATATCCCAGTTACATTTTAGCACATAACGTTTTAGCACCCATTTTCTCCCTCTCCATCATTCTCGCGAAGTATAGCAAGTCTAAGACCACTCTCTCTCATATCACATATAATATACTCTCATCACTGCATCTTGGCCCTCGACATAAAACTCTAGTCATTCAGCCTCTGTGAAAAGTAAGGGAAACTTTGCCTAAACGAGAGGGAGAGGAACCTAATTACAATTTATAAAGGAGATGTAATAATTTCATTTTCGCTAGAAATAATTTAGCGCACCTTTCATTTGTTTCCAGTGAGGGGAAATATAATTTGCCCTATTAGGATTTAGTGACTACAGGATATATTTGTTTTCACTATCACCAAGCACATATTATTCAAAACCCTATAAATATTTATGTACAACACTTTTTCCACATATAAATATATTACAGCAGTTACCTTTCCCGATTAGAAAGGGAGAGGGAAATCAAAGGAAAGAATACCAATGACTGTACGAGAGAGTACTAAGTTCAATATGCTAACCCATGATAGTATCTTCTTCCTCTAATGTTACACAATCGATGAGCTCATATTCAATTTCTTCCGCTTGCCTTAAGAGCCTCTCAGAATCAACCTGCAATTATCAGCAACAACAAAAAATCATTCTTTTCTGGCCAATTTCATTCTTTGTTCCCACAAGTGTAGTTATCAAAAGTGATTTCATTTGTTTCGATGTAAAGAGCAGGTCACCGAATCATAGAAACAAGGAAGATGCCTTCCATTTTGTTGAAATTAAGAAAAACTATGCCAAACAATCCTTCGGACAAGCCTAGGACGTAAAAAAACTTAAGCGCTAATGTAGAAAATCCACGAGGAAACAAAGTAATTTTCTTATATTGCATCAATCAAAGAATGCATATGCTCACTAATTCTTAAAAACTAGTCATGAAAGATTACTATTATTATTTAAATATTACCATGATCAGAGAGAATTCGAGGAATCAAAAGCAGTTTCCCTATATAAGTTAAGAATGCATGGGCTAACCAATCCTTTTAGAAACAAAATTTCTCGTGATGGGAGAGCACTAGAAAAACTTAAGAAGGCGAGAGAAACTCTAATGCAATATGCATGCCCTTACCAATTCATCTCACACTAAATTTGTGATCAGCAAAGTGATACACAAAACATACCCTAGAGTGAATCCACAAGAAAACAAACCAAAACTAATAAATAGGAATTGAGTACTACCTTGGACTCCTGAAATTCATTCACAACATTCATCAGACGCCTGTATTGAGCTCTTGCTTCAGGGTACTGAACCATGGACTGCACCCTTGCAAGGGCTTTATCTAAGCGTTCCTCTGTTTGCCTACGGCCCACTTTTAAAAAGTCGTAGTCATCACTTTGGGAGGACTCAGCTTGTGCGTTAGGGCCTTCGATAGATGCCTCTGGCTTGAATCCTCGAAGCCCACTCCCTTTCCGCCTCCATCTGAGAATTGCTTTTTCCACAATCCCCACTGACCATATAATCTTCTTGTAGTGCTTTCTAACCTGATAACCCCTAAAAAAGGCCTTGATAAACAAAATAGATAATCAGAAAAATTATTAAAACATGTGGAAATCCACTTCAAATTTATTTTTTTACTTCTGTTATAATTTCTTAATTTTTCTTCTGATCGGGTAACATTCAAGTTAGTAAAATAGTTATGTGAAGTAGCATAGAGAAAATGCTACCAAAAAGACATAATCCAAAAGAGAGAAAACATGGAAAAAACAGAAAATAAAACTTATTTCTTCTTCTTTTTCTCGTTTCTTACATATCCTGGCCCTGGAACAAGCCTTGATCGAAGTCGGTAACAACCACATGCAATGCAAAGGTACGAACCACCATGACTTCACTTTCTATCATTGAATTCTACTTGGTTACAATTTATTAAAGTTCTTGAATAAATGCATATATGGTGGTAAGAATTGGATGAACACTCTGCAATTTTGGCTTAATTAGGGGAAAGGTGAGAATGGGGCTTAAGATAAGTTGACAGCTCAAGCACAATAAAATGCACATTATGTTCTCAAACTATATACTGATTGGCACTGTTGTCCATCAACTAGTCACCATGTCTAGCTTCTAAGTGTCCCTCAAACTCGAAAGGGAATCACCATTATTACTGATCGTACTATGATGTCTATTTTCAATGGAATTCAAACTACTTTTGTAACTAAATGCGGTCCTATTTCCTATTTAGGGGTGTAGTGGTTATCTCATGTTCTACCTAGAGGTTGGTAGTTATGCACGTTAATGGTTAGCTATTGTCTAGTGGGTAGCTATTGTACCACAATGGGTTGTCAATTATTGTGAGTGGGAGTCAACCATGTCATGTAGTGGGTAGTTATTGCTGTAAATGGGGTAAATATCACTTGTCAACCAGTTCTATAAACCTCTATTTAAGGAGGTGTGCTATGAAGCAAAGTGAGCCAAGCGAGTGATAAGTGCAGTGTGTGTGTGCTGTATTTCCAGCAAAGAAAATTAATGCAAAGATTGCTTTAAGTGTCCATTCTCTTGTTATTTTCCTTTGCATAGCTTGCGCACTAAGAACCCAACAAGATCTCGTATCAGAACCTGGTCTGTCACAAGCTGGGCATGACTGACATGAAGTGATTGAAGAAGAAGAAAGAAGGATGAAAAAAGATAGAAAAGAGAATGTAACACAATGGCAAGAACAGATAATGCTGTTAATATTTCAAAACAAATGGTTCCCATATTCAAAGGTGACGATGATCAATTTTGGAGCAATAAATCAAAACGAAATTCATGTTTTATCTATCATGATTTTATGGGAATTAGTTGAGATGGATATGTAGAATATGACTATAAAGAAGGAAGGCTTATTAAATCCCAACAAGCAGTGTTAAAGGAAAAGAGAAAAAAAGGATGCTAAGGCCTTGTTTTACATCCCACAGGTTGTGGATGGGACCATATTTCTGGGAATAATGGTAGCAAAAACATCAAAGGAAGCATGGGACTTGCTTGAATATGAATATAAAGGACTAAGTCAGGTAAAAACTATGAAGCATGGGACTTGCTTGAAGATGAATATTAAGGATTGAGTCAGGTAAAAACTATGAAATTGCAAACTCTCCATTGTGAATTAGAGACTCTGTCGATTAAAAATTCTGAATCTATTTGAGATTTTTCTCATGAGAGTTAGTTTTATTGTGAATCACATAAGGTGTCTTGGTGAAATATTAAATGATAAAAAATGTTGAAAAAGTTTTAAGAAGCCTTCTCCTAAATTAATCATGTTGTTGCCGAAATTGAGGAGTCCAAAGATTTTACTACTCTATCTTTGAATCATCTAATGTGTTCTCTTCAAGCACATGAGGAAAGGATGAATAGATCAGCAGAAAAATAAGTTAAATACGCCTTTCAATCAAAATTTGATCTAAAGACAAGCTCGAGTGAAGGTGGACAAACTCATTGGGAAGCATGATGGAAGAGGCGGTAAGCAAAACTTTCGAGGAGAAGAAAAATCAGCAGCATTCTAATAGTGGTAATCATGAACCCCATGAATGTTATAAGTCCAAAAAGATAGGCCATATTTATTGCTGGCACAAAGGGATTTTAATTTACCTCAATGTTCTAATTGTAAGAAGATTGACCATGCTGAAAAGATTGTTGGTACAAGTCTAAAGATCAGGCAAATTTCCATAAGAAAATAAATGACATATTGTTTCTTTCATGTCTTATGTCTTAATGCAAATGGTGCGCTAGCTGAAAATATTTGGTATCTTGATAGTTGTCGTAGTAATCATATGATTGGTGATAAAACAATGTTTTTTGAAATCAAAGGAACAATGAGATCTCAGGTCAAGATGCGAGATAACCAAATGCAAGTCCTAAAGGTATTCAGTCCTATAGCCAATGCTCATATTCATTCTAAAAAAAGGAAAAAAGTTAGATGATTAAGAGTACAAAATGCTGTTGGCAGTAGTGATAACACAAAGGCTATGGACTTCGTAATCCTGCTAAAAATAAGTTGATTATAAGTCGAGATATGCTTGGAATTGGGAAAGTGGTGTAGAAAAATATTCTTTACTTGTAGAAGCGGAAGAAGAATCTCCAAGTGCACCGAAAAGCCCATTCACATCTCATGAATTCACAGAATCACCTCCAAGGAGGTTTAGAAGTCATAGTTATCAATTATGTAAATTTGCATGTTTTGTCTTGAAACCTACTTGTTTTGAAGCTGCAACTACAAAGAAAGAGCGGATCGATGCTATGAGAGAGAAATGAGTGTGATTGAAGGACCAAAACATGGAGTTTAGTAGGACTTTCCCCGGGAAAAGAAGCTATTGGACTAAAGTAGATTTACAAATTCAAATTCAATTCCGATGGATCTCTACAAAGGCATAAAGCCCAGTTGGTTGCCAAAGGATATGCACAAATCCCAGGTATTGATTTCTCTGAAAACTTTTTTTTCACCTATTGATAGGATTGATACCATCAGAATAATCTTAACATTGGTTGTTCGAAAAGGATGGGAGATTTTCCATTTTGATGTGAAATCAACATTTCTTACTGGAGAATTACAAAAGGAATCTATGTAGAGCGGCCCCAAGGATTTGAAGTCAAAGGAATGGAACAACAAAGACTACAAATTAGAGAAAGCTTTATACGGGCTTAACCATGCTTGAAAAGCACGATATAGACAAGTATTTCCTTGACAATAATTTCAAGAAAAGTGTGAGTACCCTCTATGCGAAAGCCCAAGGTATGGATGAAATTCTCATAGTTTACCTATATGTTAGATGATATAATATTTATACACAATTATTTAAGTTTAATAAATGAATTCAAGAAAAATCATCATTATCCGAGCCTTATCCCAACTATTGGAGGTTAGCTACACGAATCCACTTCCGCCAATTCTGGTCCATCAATGAAAGACTTGGGCCTTTTATATTACTTTTTGGGAATGTAAGTTATTCAAGATTCTCATGGAATTTTCTTATGTCAAGAAAATATGTCTGTGATTTGTTGAAAAGCTTTCATATTTCTAATTGTAAGCCAGTAAAATCTCCCATGAATACAAATGAAAAGCTTGTATTAGATCAGAGGTTGGAGAAAGCCAATATTAAAGAATACATAAACTTGATCGATGGACTGATTCAACTCACTCACACGAGACCAGGATAACGTTTGCCGTGCACAATCCAAATACTCACCACCTTGGGTTCGTGGAACACTGAATTTCGGAATCAGGTATCATCAAGTTAATAATTTTAAGCATGTATTATATACTGACATTGATTGGGCAGGATGCGCAGAAGACATGAGAAGCACTTCAAGTTTGGCACTTGGACTTGGGTCCAGGATGATATCTTGGACAACAAGCAACATTGTGTTCCTCTTTCTAGTTTGAAAGCAGAATACAAGGCTTCTACAAGTGCAGCATGCATAGCTAAAAAGGATCTCATTCAACTTGAAGGAGGAACAAGGAGCTACAACCATATTTTACGACAAGTCTACTATTGCGATGACAAAAAATCTAGTCTTCCATGGGAGGACCAAAACAAATAGAAATTTGTCATCATTTTACTCGAGATCTTGTGGAAAAAGGAGATATCAAGTTGGGAGTATTGCAACACGGAGGACCAGATTCTAGATATTTTTTTTAAAAAAAAGCACTTCCAAAGGAGAAATTCGGTAAGTTGCATTAACTATTTGAAGCCAAAATAATTATGGGGGGGTGTTGAATGTAATTCAAACTATTTTTGCAACTAACCACTATTCTATCTCATAGTTTCTCTCTCTTTGTGGTGTAGTGGTTATTTCATGTTCTGCCTAGTGGGTCAGTAGCTGTGCACCATTTTCTCTCTCTAAGTGTTAGTCGTTGGTTATTGCCCAGTGGGTAGTTATTGAAATACAGGGGGGTTGTTATTGCAAATGAGAGTCAAACATCTCATGTAGTGGGTAGTAGTTGCTGTAAATGGGTAAAGACCACTTCTCAAGCAGTTGTATAAGTCTCTATTTAAAGAAAGGAATGAAAGTCAGCTATTAGTATCCATTCTCTTGTTATTTTCTCTTGCTTGTCTTCGTGCCTTCTCTCTTGAAATAGCTAGTGCACCTAGAATCCGACAATATACATTGGGAAACTTTGTTTATCGTGCATTCACTATGGTTTTCCAACATAAACAATGTATCAAGAACTGTTTCAAAACCACACTATTCTAGGACTAAAGGAAATTACCATGTTTGTCCTCACAAACACATGCTTTCATCAATTTCAAATGCACTGTATGATGCAATGCACAGACAATCGATATATCATATGCAGCTCAATCTGTTTCTTTTAAATAATACATGAAACAAAAACAATATTGTACCTGAAGATGGACAATACGCTGCCTGATTACCAAGAACTCCTTTCTTCCCTTCCATCCTCGAAACTTCCTTTGTATTCTTACTGCTGCATGTACAGGCTCATCATTCCCTGTTTTCCTCATCTTTTGAACAGAAATGAGTGAGAGAGCTCGCTCATCTGACATGCCAAATTTATCATCTCCATACTCTATAAGCTTCTTCCTATGGAATGACTGCACTCTGAAAACTTCATGAATTCGAGCTGCAGCTTGAGCAGCATTACGAACAGCTGTTAGTGAGTTCCTTAATGACAGTCCATCAAGACTGTCACCATCATTAAACTGATCAATGATCTCATCATTGGTTGGCTCTAGTGCATTTTCACTAGTGAGGGCTAATTCATTGCCATCCTCGATAGCCTCCTCTATAGTAAGTTTGGAGAGATGGGAGGTAAGCGCAGACTCAGCTAGGTAACCAGCAATTCCTTTGTGTCCATTGACAGAAGCCAGATCAGCAGGTGTTTGCCCAGAAGAAAACTTTGGAGTAGGATCACTTAACGCCCCTGGTGCTCCACCCAGGGCAATAATTGCAGCAACTGTTCGCTCTCTGAGATCACAATGAGCTCAAGTAAGAAAACTACAACCTGACTTTTTGTTTTCTATATTTATTCTCAATGCACATATGAACTCTACAAATATGGGTATTAAGTATTTAAAAGTGAGAAAACAGTCGTAAAGAAATCAGGATACCTGCCACAAGATGCTGCCCAGTGGAGTGCAGTCCAACCACTTACATCGCGGAAATTGATATTAACACCCGCAGCAACTATGGGGGCTATTGCCCAATCGTAACCAAGAGCAGATGTTAAGTGAAGCACTCCTTGCCCTTGTGTATCTAAGACATTAGGACCTTTACCATCTTCACCAGCTTTAACAAGAAGCCAAGCATGCAACTTTTCCTTCAATAGCTTTTGCACCAATTGATCCTTTGCTTTACCAGGAAACAAGTCCTCATCATCAGTAAGATTTTCTATCTGGAACCATTCATCGTCATTATCTTTAAGTAAGGAATTAATTTTGCCACTTATATAAGTTTCCTCTCTGACATTACTAGATAAAGATTTCACAGGAATACTGGACCCCAAAGACAACAAACTTGCAAGTCGTACACGAAGAACCATCTCATTTGTGCTAGTGTTATCAATATCTGTAAAAGTATCCATGTATTCAGGAGCGCAATCAAGAAACTCAAATTCTCTAATTTCACTACAGGCCACCCTGTTGGAACACGTTACATAGAAAGGGACTCTTCCAGAAGCATGTGATGGAGTGTGGCAGCGAAGAACATTTTCAGTTAACACCTGTGCTGGAACTTCAACTTCCCCGAACATGCACGACCACTGACACTTCTCCACCTGATTTTGGTTCATCAAGAATGTCCCAGTAATGAGAACCTGTGGATTGTATGCAATTAGTGATGGACAATGATCATTAAGAAACATGGAATCACATAATTTCTCCATCTATAAGAATAAACAGAAATGCATTTAAGAAACCATCTGTTCCAACTTTTTCCAATTCAAGCGAACTGAGGGTTTCAGAGAATTCAAAAAGAAATAAATTTCATACAATCAAATACCTTGCAATCCAAGCCTGAGTAAGCCCATGTTGGTGAGAAATCGATAATACTGAAAAGCTGATCTTGAGAAATTGAGGGACTCAATGAATCAGTACCCAAGTTCAGTTGATGGGGCATTCTAGAATCATCAACCACATCGGTACTATCGAGAGTACTCCAAAATGAACGAGACTCAGATGAAACAACTACATCCTCTCCTCCAAATTCATTACTCATCCACCTGCTAAAACTATCCAACTTCTTTAAGCCTTCTTCTCCTTCAGTTTTGGACAATGATTTCAGCAGAGGTTGCTCTGGAAAACGACTGTGAACAGCATATTCTTCAACACCAACTTCATCCTCATTGGATTTTGATTCTTGAAAATGTCCAACTTCTGGGAAGCTGCCATCTTTTAATATGATACAAGAATCTTTTAAGTTCCCAAACTGTATAGAAAATGGTTCCTGGTCAATATGAGGCTTCATCCAAAGATACTTAGACTGCTGATAGTTTCCACATGGTTCACTCCCTTGTTCTGTATGTATGCGTGTATTTGCTGTTGCTTTTGAAGAATCCTCACTTGAGGCTATCTGAATCCAATTAAAAAATTTAGAAGCTAGAAGCCAGGTGGTGATTCAAAAAATTCACAAGTTACTGACTTGAAAGTAGAAAGTTACAGGAAGAAAACACATTAGTTCCATTCTGAAACCAACATATCCTACGAAACTTGATGATTCAGAATCATGAAGTATGCAATGGAGGGCATCATCACTCACAGAGGCATGGAAAAAAAATTTGTCGAAAGGAGAATCTCATAAATAATTTACCTGCCATTCTTCTTGTGCATATGGTTTAGCAAGGGCTTCTGACTTGGTGCTTATGTCTTCAGCAAACAGTTGCTCAAAGATGCCATTGAACTGTTTATTTGGCAGCCCTCCCACATACACAGATTTATCAGAAGAACCCATTGTGCCATGTCCTAAGACATCTGACCAAGATGCCATGTCCATCTGTTTCCTCGGCTCAAGTTGATTCATTTCAAAACCACCAATATTTTTCTCTTCCAAAACGTTGTTTCGATCATGAGAGACGAATGACATTTCTGGTGCAGCTGACTGGTTGTCATGATGATTGCCTGTCAGAAGGGATTTAGAATTTCCAACTTTAATCATACCAACAAAACCCTCCATGATATTTCTCATATTTTAGGAATCATCCGAAAGCAACATGTCTCACCTTTGCTTGTAAAAATTAAGGGATGGCTCTTAAATATATTATCTGTTCTTAAAACTTCAAGATAACTATTCAACAGATCAGCATCCTTTTGATTCCTCTGTAACCTGTATTCCGGTTGCTGTAACTCGAGAAGAGATTTGTATCTGGAAGTTACTTGAGGGTTACCTGCTACACCAATATATTATAGCTTCTCGTTTTCTAATATTTGTTGATGTGTTGTACAAGTGACAGAACCATAAGAGGAATACCGTAAAACTACTAAAAAATATAACTAAAGACACCAACATCTTATATCTCCTCTAGGAATTTCACAAGCAAAGCTCAAAAGCCTAACGAAAAAATATCAGTTTCATTTAGAGTTGGACTTACCCGATTCAGCATCCTCATATTCAGACTGTCCAATGCTCATGCTTGAGCCAGGAGTAGTTTGAGAATGTAGTTGGGAAGGATTTGAGTTAAGAGAAGCAGAATGAACTGGACTGCTTGTCGGTGTGACTTGAAAAGTTTTCTCTGCATCTCTTGAACGCCCATAACCTGTTTTATTACCCTAACATAAAGAATGTGTTTAATCAGTACATGAATACACTCCCTATAAACATAATCTTCCGAACTAGGATATTTGAGCCAATGTCTCCCTTCCACAGTTATTCCACACACGTATAAAATACTAACAGCATGTGTTAATGAATATGATTTCATTAGTAGTGTAAAATAATCAAGCTTTCAGAATTTCTTAAAAACAGAGAAATTAAAAGTACTACAATTTCATACAGGAAAGTCTATCTTGGTTTTGTTCTGTTTGGTACATGTCTCATCATAAAAACGATGGTTGATGCCAACTGTTCCTCTGCTCAGACAAGCATGAGTTGTTGACAATGGATGACTGATAGTATTTCCACCAAACCAAATAATTTGTAGTTCAAAACTGAAAAATATGGCCTAGGTAGCATAGAGTACAAACCTATCTCACATTCATCAGAATGTCACCATCATTTCTTACTTTTTGGTTCTACTTCCATCTTAATTTATTTGACTCAATATTCTATCGTTTTAATTTAACCATCTAGAAAACATCTTTTGTCACTTCAGTGGGATTCAAATTATCAAACAGAAGGGGAAATAAAAAAAGACTTTGGCAGAAAGTCAGATTGGCCTTGAGAGAACCAAATATGATAGCACAAGAAAGAATTGTAGAAGAATTGTAGAACCACACTGCACTCTAATCAACCAATTGTGTATTGGAATGGAGTGTGCCTCAAAGCTCCGTTGCATGTTTCATCCATTTATCTGTTTCACATGCAGTCCAAGAGAGTTTTCAACAATGATAAGATCAACCTTTACAACTAATGAAGATAACTTTGCTCATGATAAATTTTATATGAACAGTATGGTACTCGTTAATTTAAGAAAACATGCAGCTATCAAATTCTTTGAACATGACATAAACACCTTTTTACCAAGAGATCAGGTAAAATAGATGCGAGTACAACAACTGACTTAATCCTCAAATTCAGCTCCACCATTTAATGACTAGTAAACGGAGTGCAAGAAAAACACAATGATTAATGAATTCTGAACTAACAATAGCTGGAGACTGAATGTAAATAGTGTTATTAACTATATCGTTCACAAACATAAACCAAGGGGCTAAACAGAATTTATTCTAACCTTCACTTCTCGATAGTGAACGAGAACAATGTGCTCGAGTTCCCTGAGGCATAATGCAAATCGATTAAAAGCTATGAAAAATAAAAACCCACAAAAGACACCAAATATAATTCAAATTGTATAGAAAGATATGAGCGAAAATGGTTAAAAGACGGCACAGATGAATATTCTGAAATGAAATATTTGGAATAAAAGAAAAAGACACCCAATAAAAAGAATTTTATAGTGCATCATGCATAACAAGACATCAGAATAAAAAAAGCCTGTCCACGAAATCAAGTTAACGAGAAAATCTACTAAATGATAAACTATAGAAATTTTATGCTCCAGCAGGGAATAAAAGCGCCCAGGAAAGTATTGCAACTACATGTTATATGTCACATTAAATGTTCACAATTGAATGGATTGACAAAAATGTAATGCTAATAAGCATGCCCTGGTTCAGAACATGTTATAGAGTAGCCCAAATCAGTAATTAAAAAACCCCTTTTCAACATTGATAAACTCGATGAGTCAACTTGACTCGGTTAGTTGCCAAGTTGTACAACTGAACTCAAATATGCAAGATTTTTTTTTTTTGCATAATTCTTTCACTTAATCGTGTTGATGAAGTGGTAGTAGTGATGCATAGGTTGGCAGCTTACCACGGTACGACTCGCACCCATGGTTTTAAAATGTGGCCACATCGCCGCGTATGCAGCTGCATCAGGCGTTATGCACTGGAAAGCACGTCGCAAATGCCCGCATACGCGCTATGGAGAGATGCACGTGCATATGCACCACATTTCTCCGCATATGCAGCCGCATCGTGCATGGGCCGCATAATTCTGTATATGCGGTCCACCATTCTCACGAACATAAACCCATTGGGCAGGGGGTAATTTGGACTTTTGGACCCCGAAAAGAGGGGAAAGGTTTGGGGGGATATTAAACCCCCCAAACACCATCTTTCAGCCACATCTGTGGCTTTTTTTGGATCGAATGAATAAAAAAAAAATTATTGGTGAATAAAAAACCAATATTGGTGGAAATTTTATTTTGTGAATTTCTTCGATTTTTGTATTGGTTGATGCTTGGTTGTTGATTTGTATGTTTTGGGTGTTGATTTGAGGAAGTTTAGGCGAAGTTGTGACAACAAATCGCAAGCTTTGAGGGCCATGAAGAAATCGATACTTGCTTCAAATAACTGGTACCTTTTTTTTTCTACTACAATAACACTTTTTTTTCGAGCAATGCCTTCTTCCCAATCTTCTAGTAATAAGGATCCGGATTGGAAATATGCCAAACTTAAAAATCCCAATCTTCTAGTAATAAGTATCTGGCTTGGAAATATGCCGAACTTAAAAGTCCAAAAAATCCAAAAGATCAAAATTGTGTGATTTGTATGCTTTGTGGAAATACTTATATGAGATGTATTTTTTGGCAAACGAACACTTAGCCGGTATTTTTGAGAATGTAAGAGCATGCCCACAAGCTACCGAAGAGATAAAAGGGGAGATTAAAAAAATACATGGATAGCTTGAAAAAAGAAAAGAATGAAAAAAAAAGAATTAATTGATGAAATGCAATTATTTGATGATGATGATGAGGAGGAGGAAGATAAATCAGAAGTTGCAATGAGGCAAAAGGGTACTCCAATCTCAAGAGAGAGGGTTAGAAATATTGGTGGTAGTGTTGCCAAAAAAACACCTCTCTAAGGGGTCAATGGATGCCTTTTTTAACCCTAACCCTGAAATTGTGGTTCAAGAGAGGAGCAAAAAAAACCCACAATTGAAAATCAATTAAAAAAACAAAGAGGAAGTCGATATGCAAGTACATTGCAAAGTAGTTTTATATGGACGACATTCCTTTTAATACTTTAACCCTCAATAGTTTTGCATGTATGGTCCTTAAGGAGCCCTTATTGAAGGATGTTGTATTTGATGTTAACAAAATTTTGATTTCTCAAAGAGAAGGGTGGGAGAAGTATGGCGCCACTATTATGTGTGATGGATGGTCCATGGGAAGTTGAGGTCATGCATTAATTTATCGGTTAACTGTCCACAAGTACTTTTTTTGTTAAGTTTGTTAATACAACAGACAAGTCACATGATGCTACATACTTGTGTAGCTTGATGGATGAGACTGTAGAGTTTGTTGGAGAGAAATGACAATGGTGCCACTTACGCTGCAGTTGAGCATTTTTTTAGTTTGAAGAGGACGCATATGTTTTGGACTCCTTGCGCAGCTCATTGTGTTAATCTCATGCTTAAGGAAATGAGGATAACATCTTTATTTAGTAGGGTAATTTCAAAAGCTATGTTTGTTGTTGGATTTAGTTATAATCACACCATAGTCCTTAGAATGATGAGGACTTTTATAAAGAAAAGAGAATTAGTGAGACCAGGTATCACTAGATTTGTCATATCATTTCTCACTCTTCAAAGCCTATGCAAACAATAGTCCTTAGAATGATGAGGACTTTTACAAATAAAAGAGAATTAGTGAGACCGGGTATCACTAGATTTTCCACATTATTTCTCACTCTTGAAAGCCTACACAAGCAAAAAAATGCCTTGAGGATCATGTTTGCTTCAGAGCAATAGAGTCAAAGTAAGTGGTCAAAGCATCGGGATGGGAGATAGGTTGAACAGATTATTCTGAATACATATTTTTTGAATGGAATATATCTTGCATTGGAGGTCGTTGGCCCTTTAGTGAGGGTGTTTCAACTAGTTGATGGTGACGTGAAGCCTGCCATGGGCTACATAGATGAGGCAATGACTAGGGCAAGAGGAGAGATAAAAAAGGCTTTAAAGTACGATGAAAAAAAATGCAAGGCTATACTTGGAATTATTGATAGGAGATGGGATACCCAGCTTCACACTTTCCACATCCATCTCTTCACTACAAGCACCCATCCATTGAGTTTGATCATGTAATAAATGGTGGGTTCTTAGATGTGCTTAAGAGGTTGGTCCCTGACAAACATATCCAAGAAGAGATCCAGAGCCAAGAATTGATTAAATTCAAGTTAGCCTTGGGAAACTTTGGGTGAGAGATTGCTGCTCGAAATAAGAACACTACAAATCCAAGTATAGGCCCTAAGTACCCTTTTTAATTTCTATTTTGTTTACTTTACAATTTTTACTTGTTTATGACTTTATGTATAGTTCCATTTATACAAATAACAAAATATTTATCTAAAATCTAAATTATAAAATATTTTACAGCTGCATGGTGGGCCTTATATGGAAGCAAGACATCAAATCTATAACGTCTCGCTATTCAAGTGTTGAGTCTCAGATGTAGCTCATCTGGTTGCGAGCGCAATTTGACTGCATTTGAGCATGTAAGTCCTTAATTCATATTTCTTGGATGTCAATTTCAAATTTCTATAAGCCCTTATTCTTTTTGTGAACTTATTGTAAATCCTTTGTAATTGGGCAGGTATATAAGCCCACATTTTGTATAGGGTCTACTGACCATTTTTGTACTGAGAGACCCGTCTAGAGGGCTCTCTCGGACTACCACAATCTGTACCCCAACTTTTCTAACGCAATTCAAATGCTAACCTTTCAAAAAAAAAAAATTGCTAAAAGTGTAAAAGTAGAACAAGAAAATAACATCAGTTACTTTTGCTTGTTTCGTCGTTTTTACCACAGCTCCAAACAAAAAAAAAAATAGGTTGGAGCAAAGGAAGTTACATCATGAATTTAAAATGCGGCCGCATTAGGCGTTATGCGCTGGGAAGGACATCAAAAGGACAGCCTACATTCATAAAAAATGGCGGACTTGTTTTCTCCCATCTTTTTGTATGATTACATTGTTTAATTTATTTTGATCACCTATATGAGATCTAGTAGTGCAAAGTTTGGGGGCTCAAGAACCAAAGAATCTGAAACCCACTACCACATCCTACACTGGTAGCTGGACCCACATCCATGTAACTTAGGTGCTGATAAGGAATTTACCGAAATACTGTTACATGATAAGGAACACAGAAATTTTGCATGTTCTCACAGATGTAAACAAGACACTCTGATGTTGTAATTAAGGAGATAGGCCTGTTATTGCAAATTGCCACATTATGGACAAAGGATTTGTAGTGAAGTACTTGGGAATGCCCCAAAAGATCGTAAGTACCACGCTTCCTCAAACTACACTCCCTTCCCCTCCCCCCCCCCCCCCCTTAACGTCTTTTTCTCTCTCTCTCTCTGCAATAAGCATAATGCTCACTTTGATTCTTCAACTCCAGAACTGGTGGCTTTTGAAATTGCCATCTTATCCACAGATGCTCTTCATTAGCTGGCCAATGATCTAACCTATGATGTTTTTACAGGTGATGCTCCATAATGGTCCTCATGGTTTCGTATTCCCAAATCATACAATCTTCTATAAGCCAACCCAGCAAAGGTACATTTCCTTGACGCTGTCCATTTTTATTTAAATATATGAAAAAGTATACTAGAATTAATATGGAGTAAACAAGGTAACTGAAATAGAAGAACACCCCATACCTACCTAGCAAAGATATCTGCCGCCTTTTTAGCACTGCAAGACACATGGTGGAACCTAACGGATTTTCAACCACATAATTCACTGACTTCTGCCACCCAGTGGCCAACTCTCCGAGGCATCACTGCCTCATTACTAAACTAACAAACCCAGCAAAGGTACAGAAATATTCTTATAACTAATATATTTAATCCACAAATCTATGGAGTTGTCTTTTTATCAACCCATCTTTCTAGAAAACAGTTTGCACCTTGTCCAAATTATATTATGTTCCAATTTTTCCATAATTTATGTTGCTCCAGTTTAGCATCTAAATTAGTTTCCATAGGACGATTATTTAAAATTCTCATTTACTTTTCTGGTAAGGGTTGTCTCATGCAGGAAAGATTACTTGTAGAGACCGTAAAGTTAAAAGAATCAGCTGCTTGGAATTTGGTTTGGCTTCTCCACAAATTACTCTTTTTTTTCATTGTACAGATGTTTTATTAAATAAAAATCAGTTCACCTGTTAGTCTTCTTGCTCCTACAAAGAAAATCTGCTACTGAATCTTCCATGGGAACTGTGGCTTTGTCACTTGGATTATTCTCATTCTGACAAACTTGGTTTGGACCATGGTTTCATTTCAGGTAGTTGATGCTTATTGTGCAAGTTGCAAACTAGTGAATCATGTTTCCATTCCTTCCTCATTGAGCATTAATTAATCTCTCAGCTCTTCTTTTGATAATATCCCTCTAATGTTTCAGATCCAGCAGTTTCTTCCCTAAAGCTGGTACGCTATATAGTAGGTATTTAGGTACATTTGATTTCATTTTCATCAATTCAAGTTTCAAATCCCATATGTATTTTAAAAGTTCTCCAAGAAGTTGGAGACATAGTTTTAAGGTTTATTATATTTCTCTGCTTCTAGCTCAGGGGAAGAATATCTTTCTTCTCTCTAAGTAGAAGCAAACTTTTCATGAATTTCAAAAAAAAATTAATAGTAACAGGATTCTACCAAAAAGAACTGAACTTGAAAGAAATGTTCTTGCAACATATCTACAATACAAGCCTATTCATAGATTTTTCAACGCGCAAGTAGTTAACATCACTTAAAAAAGAAAAAGTGCACACGAGCAATATAGGCATCCATGTTGGACACATGTTATTTCAAATGTTTAAACACAGGAAACAGCGGCATTTTTCAAGAGCCAGTGGTTCTTCTCTTAATAAAAGACTAATGGGACCAGTTATTTTAAAGAAAATAAATAAATAATGAATATATGCCTAAGAGAATGGCAACCACCTGCAAAAGTACACCAAAGATATTGACCACTATGACCCTTCTCAGGAAAATTATGGCAACTGATATGTAACAGAACAGGAGAACATATGAAATTATGACTATTAAGAAGGGACTTACTCCTCCAACAACCAGTAACTTCGTCTTTGAAAATTTTCATTTTCTTCTCCATGTGCATAGTAGCAATGCAAGACATCAATCCTGCCAGCCTGGAATTATGAAAAACAGCTTATGTTCCATTCTAGCAAGATCACCATAAATTTACGAGAAAAATAATCTATCAAAAGTTAAGTGAAGAAAAATGCAAAGCAATAAAATTGCTACTACTCCACTCACACGCACTTACTTTAAGCCTCTCATGAGCCTCCCTGACTGTTTTTCCATCTTTCTTCTTTCTCCAATTGTGACCATCTTTTCTAAAATATCTCAATACCTTCCTGTCAAAGAGGAAGAGGGAACCACCTGACATTAAAAAATACATGTCAGAAATTAACTATATCCAGAAAAGTGGCATAGCTAAATCCTAATATGTAAGCCACTGATCACACTTGGACCAAACCATTTGTTGCCAAGCTGAGAATTAACCTCAAAAGTATTATGACCCAAATGCAGCTATAATTTCTAGGAAAACGAGGTCTGTAACAACTGGTTGTGTCAAGGAGCATAGTTCCCTGCTAATAGAGGATCTGTGCTGAATGATAATAAGGGAAATTAGTTGGATGGATACGATCCAATTCTATTTAGTGTCATCACAAAGGGAGTCACAGCTCAGATCCATCTTGGGAAGCATCATCAACAAGAAAATGCAAGTAAAATGCCAATGCATTTAGCGCCATGAGGTTTGTCCAACTGGAGGCATTTTTTGTTTTGTTTTGAGAATGTCAACTTTCCAACTGGAGACAATTTGACAGTTAAATGATGTCCGACCGACTTGTTCACATCTCCAGTTACATCATAAATACATGTTCAACACCTAGCAAGTTAGAAAAACAGTCCCACACAACCCAATTAACAAAAACACCAATGTGCTATTACCTTAATATGTATACACATAATGTGCACAATAAAACTCCTCAAGCGGATATTAAGGAATCACCCAGTGATTAAACACCAGAAAATGACCTTATTCTGAGACTCTCTATGATCAATAGCTGTAAGCACTGACATGGGGCAAGGAACTAAACATCAGCAGAGAAATGGAGATGGATAAAATGACAATCAGTTTCTACCATGTTTCAGCATGTCATGGAATAAAAGATTGCATTCATCACTAATAGCAATCAATTATATCCACGCAATGGACTAGGATATGTCACCTCTACCCCAGTTTCAAGAAGTTTTCCTCAAGGTTATATGATCTCACTCATGTTGAAGCCATTGTTTCTGTCCTCCACTTCAAATATCGACTTTAGCATGATCTCAAGTTTTGTACTTTTGCATGAAATTTGGGGGATGCAAGAAATTCAGAATAAATTGGGATCTCTTTGCTCTTTTGCTCTTCCTTCCCCCCCCCCCCCCGCCCCGATACAAGGTAATAGATAGCCATGATTCAATTAAGTCTCTGTAGTCCAGCCCAATCAGCATCAGTCAGGAGAGACTACTCAAGACATAATAATGATGAATGAAACAAATGTTATGCTACAATGTCTCTGAGATATTGAATAATACCACAAGCTAATGCTAGGCATGAAAATTTACCTTTATGCGACTACTGATGAATGATGTGCACCACAAAATTTACACATAGTCAGGGGGCTGATAGGCATACATGACTTCCAAAAATTTGGCATGGATAAATCACAAAATTTCTCTTTGGAAAAATAAGGCATCTTATTAAATAGAATATGCTTTGAGTAATAAGTAGAAGACTCATACTTGGTGGCCTATTTGGTGGATCAGAAGCAATATGAAAATTGTGATAATTCCGAAGAATTTCACAAACTTCAGCAGGACGCAGCCAACGGTTCTGAGCTTCCAATACAATTTGACTGATATCTGCACATCCATGAAGAGAGAATAAGTCGCTGAAGGCAAAGATATGAAAACAAGTAGATTTCTATTGTTATTCCCACAGACTAATAAAACGCAGATATTTCTTTAGATTCAATGGGAAAGAAAATTAAAACTCTTGAGATGACACAAATAAGACAAAAAAACAAGAAGATTCTATGAATTCACCAATGAATACTCTATGAATTAACCAAATGCGACATATGGAAAAAGGAGGTGTTGATTGTCATAAAGGTCGGTATTTTCAATGAAACAATCATCCCATTATTAGTTATTCAGCCTCCCTTGAGTATTTTTCTCTTAACATGAGTTCTTTTTGTTCATAGAAGAGCAAGAAGAGCTATACATAATTATATCTATTCTATGACGAACTAATCTCCTATTTTAAGCTGAACATGAAACTGACTAAAACCACAAAATACCTAGTAAGCGAAGGACAAATTTTAAGTTATCACTAATAAATATTGTCTTAAGGAGGCAAATGACTCACATTTACCAAACTAATATAAAGAATTTATGTCGAAATTATAGATGACACATAGCGATCAATATATTGGTATCCTATCACTTACACTTTTAGATGTTAAAATAAATATTATGAGGGTCGCACTGGCCACCAAACTGGTGAGGGGTATGGTTTCAATCCCCACTGACCTAACTGTCGATCAAACCGATAGGACTGGATTTGAGAAAAATAAAGAATAATAGTAATAATAGTTTAAGAATATAACATATATTAAAAACCTATCCCAACTTTGTTGCATCAATCTAACCAGCTAGTGTTTCAAAAAATGGGTCGCGCCTAGGAGCCCAAAAGGATCCTAGGCCGCACGCCTAGGCCTGGCAGACCTCTTTGGGCGCTAGTTCCTAGGCACCCACCCAAGTGGCCTAGGCGGGTGCTCAACGCACAGTCCTAGGTGGGAGCCGAGGGCCTATGCCCTTTTGACAGGGAAAAAAAACAATGAGGGAGATTTAGGTCTTTTTGACCTATGAAAAAGAGTGAAAGGGGTGCTTTGAGGGCATTCTAAATCCCCCAAAGTGAAAAAAATTCAAACCTAAACGCTAAAAACACTCCAAATCAATTGATTTTGCAAATTGTTTTGAATTGAAAAAAAATTTGAAAAGTTTGAAGAAGCATCCAAAAGCTTACCCTTTCTTATTGGAATTACTTTTCGTCTTATACTCTTAATGGGGACTGGCAGTCTATGTGACTATTTCTATGTGTGTAATTCTGTATGATAATTGTATGCCACTATGGAGTATGGAGAGTTGGAGACTAATACACTATGGACTTACTTATGTTTTTCACTAAATTTTCAATGATTTGAAGTTTTGAACATGTTTTAACATTGATGCATATATATCTGCATATATATGCATTTGAACAACACATATATACATATATTTGAATAAAATTTACCTCAAGGTGCTTGAGGTTTTGGGTGCCAGCCTAGGTACTAGGTGTCAGACCGACAACCTAAGGGCCACCTAGTGTTTTCTGAAACATTGCCAGCCGATCTGACCAGCAAACACTGGTCAAATATTGTTTTGACTAGTTTTCAGCCAAATACAATTTTTTGCTTGGGACCATACCGGCCAGGGCACTGATAGGCAGTCTAACTAGTCGGATCGGCCGATGCAGTCCAGTCCTAATAAATATTGTCAAAATCATCTAATTTAGAGCACTCCAAACGAGTGTATGGCTTCCAATTTGTAGTCACAATATGCATATGTGCACACAATTAGCCACGGCTTCTTGAAAGAAAATAGCGCATCAAGTAAGTTCCTTGTCAACAGAGAGATCCATGGAATTAGGGAGTAAAAACCTAACTTATCAATACAGGTTATATTCAACCAATGAAGTCTTGATATCTAAGCCTATGGTACAATGCTGTAAACCACCAAAGCATATGGACAATCATAGAATTGATGGAAGCTCCATAGGAAACACTCACCCTCCAGGAGTTGCGAGCCACTTCAAAGACAATGAAGGCATAGTTTTGATGATCTTTGCTAAGATACTTTGATTTGTGATGCCACTGAGTAAGAATCAAAATCCCTAGCAAGAATATTTAACAATTGTCTCCTTACATATCTTGACACTTCGGGAGGTGAGAGACAACATGCTCATGGCAGCTAGCCATGGCTAGAGGAGATACATGATATCAGCAACTTGCTGGTTGTTTTCTTATGTTGTTGTTGTTATCCTTTTCAGTCTTATTATTGTTGTTCTTGTTATGATAACGATGATGCCAAAAATGATAATAAAAATAGTAGTAAGGATCTATCATAATCATTATCATCAAGTTTTATAATTATTATTCTCATAAATGATTAGACAATCGTGGTATCCTTTCATCACATTCTTCATGAAGCCAAATAGAAATTTGATTTCTTATATAGATAGGAAGCAGTTCAAGAAGTGTCATCAATAGGGACAATTAAAAGATTCACGCCAAATGAAGGCAATTAAAAGACAAAGAACATTGTGAGACTTCTTGAGGACCAATTGTGCTTCATTGGCCCTTGATGATTTCAGCTTCTTGGGTAATGTCCAAGAAGATTTAACAACATTTAGTAAATGTTAAAGGAGGAGTCCAACCATGTTGGCATGATGCTCAGATACTTGTATAAGCCCGTCATCAGCATAGGACACCAAAACCAACATAGGATATAGAAGTGCAGAGTTAATAAAATATAATGATGCATTGTGAGAAGGTGTATATGTATGTATGTATAACAATGCATACACACATTCATATCTGTATCCAATTATGTGCATTTTCGTTGTTACATAATCATTCATGTTCAGTCATAAACTGATGAATAACATAAAGTACGTGAGCAATAGGATTCATAGCAACAGTGAGAATAGAAGCTTTCCAAATATTTGCAAGTGCACTATAAGGTCTCTAACAGGCACTGTTTGTTGTCCTAAGTATTTCACATTCAGCTCAATTTGAATCTGTTACTTCTTTGTCAATAACAATTTCTCAAGTGCTTAGATCATATGCATGGTTTTATGTGGTTATGTTACCCGTAGAACTGCGACTAAGCACATGCACCTGCACATCCATGCGAGCACACACATGCACATACACGCACACATATGATGAGCAAATGTGTTCTCTTTATATGGAGACGGTGAGAGAAAAATACAACATGCCTCGTACACCGAACAAATATGAATACCAAATTTTAATCCTCTGAAGAGGCTGAAGATAATTATTCCCACGAGAAAGATATATAAAAAGCTGGCCCACATAAATGCTAAACAGCAGATTGAATTATATTGATTACAAATTAAAGATAAAACTAATTTGATGGATCTTCCAGGCAACCTATTCCAAGTGTAATCATTTATATGCAGAAATACAAATATCTTCCACGACTACTAATCAGGCACAAATCTTATAAAATACACCAGTACAAGTAAGTTGTTTTTTCCTGTTATAATATTCTTTAACCTTATAAAGCATTTGCAGCATTGGTGTTCATTAGTTACAACAACCATACTCTTTCTATGGTGAAATATCGTTTCTTAAACCCATTTAAGCATTAGTGGCAGATTCTGTTCATTATTTGTAGCTAATATACACTATTGCTCATTTGCTAGTCAACAAATACACAGCATGAGATATGTAAACACAGAGAAGCATTTGCAGCATTCGGTGTTCACTTCACCAAAAGTAAATGTTGTGGTTGAATTAGCAAAAGAACTCATGATTCAAGACATTTAAATTGTATAAGTAGTCATTAAGGCAATGAATTTGTAATACAAAAACTTAAATTATCTATTTGGCAACCGCTATGCTCCAAGACAGCTAGACTTTCAACTATTATGCATAAGTATTCAGTTCAAAAGAACTAAATTTCCCAAACAAGCACACAACTATTATGCGTAAGTATTTCATTCAAAAGATCTAAATTTCCTAAACAAGCTCATACAAGTGAATCAAGATAAATTAAATTACAGACACAACTGAACTCTAAGAGGCCCATTTTTTTTTTCAAAATAAAAGCTCATAAAAGGCTACAGGCGCATTGTTTTTTGGGTAGTTCAGGCAGGAATTGAACTTGAGATGTTGCACTGCTAAAGCTACAGGCCCATCAAACAACAGTAATAAGCAAAACTCAAATCCGCAAAGCAATTAAGCTCCAAAAATCTTAAATTTACCCCCGAGAAAAGCTCATACAAAACATCAAGATGTTTAAACAAACCGAACACAAACCTAATGGATTGGAAAGTGCATAATGCCTGCTCTCCGCCATTACAGCACATCCATAAGCTCCAACAGATCTACAAAACCATCAAAAATACCCTATGTTCAGAACCTAATCCCTAAATTTCACTTCATCCAAGTCTCTCATGGATCCTGCATCTTACCAAACAATTCTGTTATAAAATTCATGGATCAAGTAACAGAAGCAGAATCCATTGAAACTTTTCAGAAAATTACACAATAAAACAAATTTTAATCGTGAAATTTGATTAATTTCCACAGAGAAGTGGAGAGAGACTCGCAAACGACCAGAAGCCTCACCTGATACAGTTGATTTGTGAGGCAAAAAGATTAAAGCATGCGAGCATCAGCAGAAGTTGGTCTTATAGACATGTCCTTTATAATAAAATGGACATTTTTATTTATTTTATAACGATACTACCCTCCGCCTCTCCTATATTGTTTCTCTCTTTCGTTTCACTGGTTCACTGTATGGATATTTTTAGTACTTTGTTATTAAATGCTGATGTCTATTTTTATTTTTTTGAAGGATTATACCCCTTGGATAGAATCAAATGTCGAAGATACCCCCAAGAAACACTTTTCAATTTCCCTCTAGCTGATTCATAAGTAGATGATGATGATTTCATGTAACCGTTGTAAAGCAATGGTTTAAAAAACGGATCGGTGATCGGGCTTCCAAAAAACCAATTCGGATCGAGAATCGGGTGAATCGGTCAGAATAAAGCTTAAAAAAAATTCGAAAAAATTATTAAAATTCATTATAAATATTGCTTTTTAAGAATTCAATAAGAAATGAGGGTACTCTATTAAGAATTTTCATGTTTTTGAATGAATATGCGAATATTGATATGTTCTTTCCCTGCATGAACCGCCATTCAGCATTTAATTTCCATCATACAAAAGTATAAACATAGAATTATCATGGAATAAGTATATCAACATACATGGACTACAATAAAGCATAAAATTAGTAACATATGATCTAAAAATAAAATGATAGACGACGTTATTGTTCTTCTTGGTCACGCTAGTGCCATTGATTGAATTCGTTTAACAATTCATTGGTTCGATCTAAAACCGAATTATCGATATTAGCAGGCGTCTGACTATTCCTAAATCCCTGAGTGTTAGTGTTTTGTTGTGTTCCTAATCTAAAATCCCCGAAGATTGTCCATCCTTCATGCTCACCTGTACTGTCGTGCTCATCCCTACACTGTTGCTGTTGGGACTTGATATGTGAATAATATGGCTGGGATATGGCGGCCTCAGAATCATCATCTCTCTCA